TTGAGTTTTAAGCACCACTTAACTCAAGCTATTTGTGTGCAAATGGGAGTCAGATTAGGGGCAATGTTTGAGTATTAGCCTTGCAATATTTGGTGGGTTTTTTAAAAGCTTCAGCTCCTGTCAGGTGATTATATGACCACCACAAATTCCATTTAGAAAGAAAAGTTTCTGGCCCTCATGGTTGAGGAGAAAAGCTTGAAAACATGACCACTAAACACTCAAACCAACTTTGACTTAAAAATCATGACAATTTTTTAAAAAAATCTCATTTTTTAATACTTGGGTGTGGCAGTATTAGAACAGAGGAGAATTATGTACAGCTCATAACAGTGTTATAAATGAAATAATAGAAATGGCTAAAATTTCTTTCAGGTGAATTACTGTATCTCAGCTTCAACAATTTGTATAATATTGAGGGGTTGTGATTCTAGATACCGCAATGAATGTATAATTTGTGTGTATTAAGAAGTGTTATTGTTCATGCTTATTGATTAGTGAAATTTTCCTCAGGGCAGGTGGCAGCTTGGGCTCAATCAGCTCCGCTCAGTTCATGCTCAGTGGCTCTAATCTAAGCCATCTTTCTGTTCCCTTTTACCCTGACTCTGACCAAAATGTTGCCTGTGGTGATAGTTTAGAATGGGGGAATGACTTGAGGTGCTGGTGAATTTAAGCCAGATGAACAGATTTAGTTCTTGAGCTGGTATGTGTTGGGTAAAATTTGCAACCCCTAGATACCAGCACCATTTTCATTCTAAAGTCCATTTTCAAGGCAATGCCTAATCTTAGTATAAAGACTCATTCTAGATAAATAATCTTCCAGAGTATCAGAAAAGGGCCACGTTTTAAATATATTTACACACTGTGGTACAAATATCTATTCTGAAGTTGTTTAACAGCTCTTTCCTCAAGTGTGACTTAGGCTAGGTCTACACTGGGGGGGGGATCGATTTAAGATACACAAATTCAGCTACGCGAATAGCGTAGCTGAATTTGACGTATCCGATCCGACTTACCCCACTGTGAGGACGGTGGCAAATCGACCGCCGCGGCTCCCCCGTCGACGGCGCTTACTCCTACCTGGGCTGGTGGAGTACGCGCGTCGATTCGGGGATTGATTGTCGCGTCCCGACGAGACGCGATAATTCGATCCCCGAGAGATCGATTTCTACCTGCCGATCCAGGCGGGTAGTGAAGACAAGCCCTTAGGGCAACTGCCATGATCTCATGAGGACTACTTCATTGGCTAAGGATTGATGAGAGCACTCTATCCCCACACCAAGCCTGTCATGAATGCAAAATGTGGGGCTATAGAGCTGGTGATGCTGCCTTTACACTAAGGATTTTCTTACATGATGGGAATCACCAGCTGCCCCTCTAGGGCAACTTTTTATACCTTGTTGCATTGAAGAACTGGGCCTGAGTATTTTATTCATGTGTTTATTGAAAGATGTATAAGTGGCTCCCATTGCTTCCACAGCAGGGCACCTCTCCTAGTTTAAGCAAAAGGTGCACTTAAATCAAGTAAAATTTCCTCACAGCTTACCACACTGAGGAACACATCAGCTCTGTTATCTGCCAAACAGATAAACCATACACTGCTCCCTGACGTTTGCCAGGTTCCAGAGCCTTTGCATTGTTCATGTTCGCTAATTAAAGACAGTGATAATCAATCCTTCACCCTCCTTGTTCTCTTTTCATTTCTCAGCAGTTTTTCACTCACTGTATTACCCTAATACATATTAAAGGGACAATGCGGATGTGAAAGGGTATAAAACCATTGTGGGAAGGTTGCTTGAAGCTGCTGACCTGGTGCATCTGCAGTATATTGGAACCATTGTTTTATTTGTGTTTTCCCTGCTCTTTCCCATTGCTCAGGCCTCAGTCTCTTGACCACTCACCCACCTTTTACTTCTGGATGATCTTTTCCCTGTTTTACCACGTTAGTGCTGTTTTCTCCAGGTGTGGCTTCAGAGCAAAACTAGACCATAGTGGCCCATTTTCCTTCCCTGGCTGACAATCATGGAACAGTTGTGCAATTAGCTCTGTTGTTTGGAGTAACTGGTGTTGTTGTCTAAGGCCATGGGATGCTGCTACAGAAACCAAATATCATCCTCCGTGTTGGAAGGTGGGGCTCTGGGCTGCAGAAAGCAGGCTGCAGTCAGCTCCAGGCTCTGAATATTCTTATATAATGTTCAAATAAAAATAATGTAGCTGTTAAAAAAAAAAAGCTGTCCATATCTCCTACATAGGGAGAGCGACATAGAGGAGATGTTTTGGGCTCTGAATGACAGAACTATTAGCAGGACTTTTACTCTTTTGCTAACTTGCTCAGTAATATAAGATGTGTGAAGACTGCTAGATTGACAAGGACTGTCCATTTTGTTGTATCGTGTAAGTGCTGCTACTCTTGATTTTGATGGTGTAACATTTAAAATCTCCTTCCAGATTTTTTAATTTAATAATATTTAATTAATTTTTAATTTATATTTTGGCTAACACCAAAGAATACGTGAGAATTACTCAGGATAATATAAGAACCACATAGTCAAGACACACACTTTTTCCATCCTGTGAACATAAGGACAGGGCTATTGTTCCCTGAAAATAGGATGTACCGTTCTGACATAGTGCATTGCAGAATTGCTGTCAGGGATCTGTTTTCAACCTGCCTAATGATGAGGTTTTGCATCTAATTAGACAGCTAATAGCTCAGTTTGCTGATTTTGTGTATGCAGATTTAGGCTAATGTGTAACAGTTTGCACATGCAAAATTTGGTTTTTGAAGTTTGGCCTTAAATGCCCTGTAATGTAGTCACTAACTTTGCATCACCACCGTAATTACTTATTCCAGATAGCTCTGCCATGTGGTCCAGGCCCAAACTGAAGGGGAGCAAAGGGAGTGCAGATCCACTTTTCACATTCATCTATCTATGCACAGAGACTATGAATAAACTACAAAAGGGACGGGAGTGTTCCACTGCTGGAGGTGACACTTTCCAGAAAAGATGTAAAATTAGATTTAGAGTGGAAGGTGGTGGGGGTAGGGAGGAAGCCTAATTAAATAATTGTGTTTTGTGTAGGACCTCCCAGAGAGGGTAGGCAAAAGGAGCAGTTTCCCCTGGACTCACTGTTTTGAGAGGGCCCCCAAGCCCATGGAATTTGAGTAAGTGGGCTTGTGACCTAGGGCACCGGGTCACAGCGCCATTTGAATTTGGCTCAATGGGAACCCTGTGCACCAAGTCACAACATCACTCACTCAAGTTTGGCCTGGCTGCCCACCCCCCATCATGAGTGGCGCTGTGATCCCATGTACCAGGTTGCAACACCCATGTGGAGCCAGGCCCAGCCCCACAGGCCAGTAGCTGAGTGTGCGGCAGGCTCTCTTTCCAACATGCCCCTTCCGCCCCAGCCTTCCCTCAGTGTTTTTGCACTGATAATTTTTTGGATTGGGTGATTTAGTTTTAGATTTTGCCCTGGCCCAAAAAACTTGTGTGTGGCCCTGGTTAAATGCTCCATTTAACAGGTGCCCCTTCCAATGTAGGTTCCTTATTTAAAAATGTCCCCACAACAGCAAACCAATACAAATTTGGATACCTGTCTGATATGGACATAACACCTAACTGCACCTTCTAGTCAGACACCCTGCTACTTAACTTCAATGTGACCCAGTGGGTGGTGAGATTTAAGATCTCTAATACCTTAGTCTTCAACCTGCAATTAAAATAACCTCTTAACTTAAGTCCTCTCATTCTCACTGGTACCTTGCTTACTTTACCTTGTGTTTAACACAAACATGACTCTAAATTAACATAACGTTTGTTCAACATGGTGAGAATAATACAGATCATGTAGAGATTATATAATATAAAGTGAAAATGAATAGGACATCATAGAAACTTCATTAACCTTGATGTCAGTAATGTTTAGGAGGAAGATTTTTAAAGAAAATTTTAGTTGCATTAAACACCATGCTCTCTGGCTGAGAAAAGCAGACCAACTTTAGACTTTGAAACCCTGTGTTCAAAGAGTATGTTTCAAACCGAACTAGAGTTTTAAAATAATAAGTAAGTGTGCTTACAGTCCGCAATAAAACAAGTTATTTAAGCAGGTCAATGCAAGAACTTGTTTGCTTAAAGTTAAATATGTGCCTAAGTACCTTGCTGAATCAGGATCGTAGCTTCTTTCATTGGAGGATCTCAAAGCACTTTTACAAAGTAATTATCCAATCATCTCTAAACCTCAGCAAGGTGGATATATTTTCTGAGCCTCATTTTAAACATGGGAAACAGACACAGAGTAGTTAAGGCCAAAAAAAGAGACCAGATGTTCAGCTTGGAAGTTGTAGAGGCATTAGATCCTCTGGAAATCATCTGCTCCTTTAGATGTCCAAGTTTATAAACTTGCATTTGAAAATTTTGGCCTGTGTGACTGTCTAAAGTCACAGAGCAGAACTTGAGAAATCCACAGCAAGCGGCCACCCTTTCCTAAAACAGTGGGAGTCGAGGATTACAGCCTCTAAGGACAGGTTTCAGAGTAGCAGCCGTGTTAGTCTGTATCCTCAAAAAGAACAGGAGTACTTGTGGCACCTTAGAAACTAACAAATTTATTAGAGCATAAGCTTTCGTGGGCTACAGCCCACTTCTTCGGATGCCTCTAAGGAGCTGCACAGTCACTGGGACATGTGTCTTCAACTTTTCACTGTCTAGTTGAGGTTTCCATTAATGTGTTTGCAGGACTCAAGTAGGATTATATTTTATTTATATACATATACCTTATTTGTTATATACACATACTTTGTCTGTAATGTACTGTATTAAGGAAAGAAAAGTAAATGATAAAAATATTGATGAATGCCACTTCTATAAATGAAAATCAGATTATTTAAAAATCAGACTATCCTCACATTTGTAGATCTTATATTTTTAAATCATGCAGTTTGATAGCACCATTTACAGAATTGTGGCTGTTTGGCCCTCATTGTAAATTCTTCTTCATTTCAGGTAGGAATGAATTGATAGCCAGATACATCAAACTTAGAACAGGGAAGACACGGACCAGGAAACAGGTAAAACAACCCAATTGGAAAGTGTGCATGTCAGCGAATGACAAAACGTGGCATTTTTGGCTGCAGTGGCTGTCAGTGATTCAGCTCTGTTGAGATAATGCATTGATTTCATTGTTATGATTAAGTATGTGCTTTTTAAAAATCCATTGTTTGATCTGTTCATCATTTCAGTGACCATTTATTGGGCACATTCCATATTAATGTCTCTACATATGTAGCTATTATCTCATAGTGAAAAGAGCATTTCATAAGTCAAACTAACATAAGCCATATTAATTCTTGCATCATTTGCATATAAAGAAAATATAGAATTTAACAATTGTTTTCATATGGTGAATAATGGAACAATTAAATGTCTGGCCACTTCACCTAAACAAGAAAGTTACTAGCTGTGGATATGAAAAATAATAAATAATGAGTATTCAGCGGACTCGTTCTACTCATGCTCCCTATTCATGGTCAGTGGTTGCTATAGGGTGAAATAGAGTTGTTTCCATAAGAGCTATGGGTGCTGTTGTTCTGTAACCACAATAAGATTTTGTTCATAAGTAAGTCAGCATAAACCTCTACCAGCCTTTAATCTTTTTCAGAAGATTATCACATATCAATTAAGTTATCACATATGACTAGATCCTTTAAATGTTATATTCACAGTGATTAGCCATCTCACAAATGCACACATAACCTTTGTGTAGTTTGTGTTGAAGTTACTAAACTGGTTCACTAGTGTAAAAAGTTTGCAAATTACACTGTCCCTTTCCTTCTTTAACTTTGAGCACAAGCTTCCAGGTCTCCTTATCAGTGTGTGTTATGGGGAATGGGGAGACGGGGGAGAGGCTTTTATTCAGGCATGCAATGCGTGTTTTGTACTCTGGTGAAAAGTAATGCTGAGTCAGCACAAATGAAGATGGCCTGCTGCCAATGCTCGTATTTAAAGCACGTTGAATTGGGTGACATTTTCCCCTGGGTGATGTTCTTTGTCAATTAGGAAGCAATATAAAGTACAAGGGATGAAAAAAAGCCATGAGGAAGGAGAGAAACTGCAATTCATAGAGACGGAACAAATAACACATTAACAAAGAAATCCATAGCAAAGGACTAAAGCTCCAAGTTCTCTTCTGTTATACCTGGGCAACCCCCATGAACTTGGGGTTGCACAGGTGCGGCTAAGAGCACATTACAACTCAATGGCTTCAAGCACATGACCAAATCCTCAGCCAGGGTAAATTAGCCTAGCTCCATTTAAATCAATAGAGATATGTTGATTTACACACCAGAGGTTCTCCCCCCCCCCACCCCCCGCGCCCTATATATAAATAAAATACATCATGAATACATCATGAGTATTTTGACACAGTTTGAGTCTCGCTACTTTTGAGAATCTCTCAACAAATTAAAATTAAAAATTGAAATTGCAGAATTGTGCGTACCATGTAACCTTCAACACCATTATCCTGCGAAACTGAAAACAAAAATTACCATTGTGAAAATTATGTATGTCTGTTGAATTATCAACTTGCTTACTAGTTTGAATAACTACAGACTCTCATTCCTGGGTTGCTTCATTAAGAAGCCTAGTAAAGTTGGCCCTCAGAGATCAGAATTTGTTTACATATTACAATACATTTTTTTCCCTAACAAACATGAGTTGCTTTAAGGTACCACAACAAAAGGATTTTTCTAAGTGATGATAGTAATATTTCCTTTCCCCCTCCTTTTATCTATCAGGTCTATTTAGCTTCAAACCTGTTCAAGGGTAGGAGCTGTCTCTTACTATGTGTATGTACAGCACCCAGCACATTGGGGCCCTGATCTTAGTTCAGGTCTCTAGGTGCTACTGTAATATAAACAATATGGTGGTAGAGAAGTTTCTCTAGCAATTTTTGTTATTGTTGCAGTTTAGAGAAAATCATATTGGGCCCTGCAGGGGGCTGAGCAACTCCTGGAGGTTCTAAGTGCCCTCAGCTTCTGTTTAGATTGGTTGCTCAGCAGCGAGGCAGGATTTAAAAGTATAACAGGGTTCAAAAAATAACTAGATAAGTTCATGGAGGATAGGTCCAGCAATGGCTATTAGCCAAGATGGTCAGCCCCATCCTCCGGTGTCCCTAAACTTCTGACTGCCAGAAACTGGGACTGGATTACAGGGGATGGATCACTCGGTAATTGCCCTGTGCTGTTCATTCCCACTGAAGCATCTGGCACTGGCCACTGTTGGAAGTCAGGATACCGAGCGGGATGGATCATTAGCCTGACTCAGCCCGGCCGTTCTTATGTTCTTATGATTTAACCCATCATCACAACAGATTTTAACACATACTTGAGAAAATATGACTGCAAAACATGGCCCCCAATCCCTCCCTCATCAGTCAGGCAAAACTTCCAGTACAATTGATCCAGTGTGGGACTGGGTCTCATGCTTGCACATATTTTTCACTGATGTAGTGCATGTAAAGACAGTGGGCCACATTCAGACCTGGTATAAATTGACTTCAAAGGAGTTGCCTGCACTTATTATCAATGTGGTAGAAGCATGACCGATATTCATATTATAAAGAAATGCAACATTATTTCATGTTTCTTTCATACCTATAGTGTGTCAATATTTTATCACCAAATGTAGCTCAAAACACAGCCTTGGTGTAATCACTTGAGGTCATAGAACACGATAAATTATTGTTAATATTTCTTGATGCTGTGTCAAATAAAGTCTCTCGTTCAATGCTCAATGCTACAAGGGCCTGATTCTGCAAACCCTACAAATATGGATAGTCCTTATTCATGCAAGAAGTCCATTTGATTTTTTGCATGAGTAAAGACTCTTTGGCTGTCTGTAGGGGTCGTAGGATTTGTAACGAAAGAGCAAGTGGTCCACACCTAATTCTGAACAGTGTCATTGGTTCTCTCCTGTAAAAAACTATATAACTTGATAGATTAAACTTTTTTCTCCTTAGTCACGTCACTGCAGTGATGGCCTGTGTTATTAAGCCTTGGTGCTAAGAGCTAGGCATCTGGCTGGGAATGTGGTATCTTTAACAGCAGAGCTTACTGAAGATGCAAATAACTTCCCCCCACAAAAAAAAGTAATTTAAAAAGATATTTTAAATTTGATTTCCTTTTTGTTTTTCTTTTTCTTTTCTTTTTTCTTTTCTTCTTCTCTCTTTTTTTTTTATAAATCTGAACAATGTAGGTGTCTAGTCACATACAGGTCTTAGCAAGAAAGAAAGTTCGAGAAATTCAAGCCGCCATTAAGGTACGTTTGGCTTGCCCAGTTGTAGGGGGCTTTTCATCTCCATGGTTACAGGCTTTTCCTTTGTTTTCCTCCCTTCCCCTACCCTGCAGGTGTCTAGTCACATTCAGGTTCTTGCCAGAAGGAAATCTCGTGATTTTCATTCCAAGCTGAAGGTATGCGCTTTTCTGCTTTTGGGCTTGTGGTTGCTATGCATTTCATTTCCTGTTTTCCATGGTGATTGGTGAATGCCTGGTGCTGTGATTCTTGTAACCTAGTTTTCTTGCATGTGGTAGCTGTTTACATTTCTTTGTGTTTAATCTCTGATTTCTGCACTAGCATCCATATTAAAAATTTTAACACTCTCCAGATACAAAATGAGCTACTCTTTATAACTACTCAGCACATAAACATGATTATTTTTAACCCGTTAGTTTTTTAACAGCTTAGTGCTAGATTGTTAGTGTATTTAAATAAAAGGAGGGTTTTTTTATTTTTATTTTTTTTGTACACTGGTACACAAAAAACATTTCCACAGCGATAACTGGGATTGTGATGCTTCTTTTCTGTTCCAAAATGCTTTTAATCTGTGCTTTTGAAATGCTTTCAAGAATACTTAAAAATAATTATTTACTCTAACAGCCAGACAGTATGGTTATTAAGATTGCTTTAGAAACTGCAGGCTGAAATTTCCACAGTACAGTCTAATATAACTTTAAATTAACTACTGTACATGATTCCCCGAAGATATATTCCTTTCAAAGTAAAATATTTACATTTATCTTAGTTAATCTTTGGAGATTCTCAATCAGCATCATGTTGGGGGAATATTAATATGTTTGTTTAATCTAACTTGATGGAATTGTACATGTCCCCATTTTTCCATGAAAGGTCTACCCAAAACTAAAAGGAACCTCTTGGAAATGATTAATAAGGGTCTTTGCACATTTTCCAAGGGAGATCTTGTGTTACGTTTTTAGTTGCCTGACATTACTTAGAAATGCAAGGAGGTTTTAGAGTTTTTAAATTTTTTTTTGTTGACAAAAAGCAAAGCAACTTGTAAATCTTTTATTCCCCCCTCCCCCCCTTTCTTTTTGCTGAGTTGTTGTGGGTTGTCTCCCTTCCCCCCACCCTCCACTCTTCCCCCCTCCCCCCGGGGCTATGAATGAGAACAAATCATGTTTTTGTTCTAGCTGAAAAGCAAAATATTTCAGAAAGTAATTTCACAATACAAAGTGGTGAGTGCTGGGGAAGCTCACCACAATCGTGAAACTGCAATATGTAAATAACAGACTGGCTTTATAACAGGCCTACTTGATAGAAGCATTTGGTTTTCAGTGGGCAGCATGCTGGCAAGCTTGTATGGCTGTGGTGGCTGGCTTTTTAGCTGCACTGGCTAAGCAGTTGGGGTTGATGAAGAACTAAGGCAACTTAAACATACTGCTTTTTAACCAAGGGTGCAATAATACAGAGAGATGTAGCAATTTAGGCCAAAATGATCAAAACTGAGTGCTTAAAGTTAGGTACCTAAACCCATATCTAAGCATCTAAATAAGTGGCCTGATTTTCAGAGGTGCTGAGCACCTGAAGCTATCATTGACATAGATAGGAGCTGTGAATGCTCAGCAGTTTGAAAATCAGAAAATTTAGCTCTATATTTAGGCATTTAAATAAGAACCTAACTAAAAAATTGGCCATAGTGTTTGGAAAACTTGAAAAAATATTTTTGTCCATACCCTAAAGTACCATCAAATATGAAAAGACACTATTTTAAAAACAAAAATATTCTTTATTACTGCACCTGCTGTACAATTCCTACTGAAGCTTTTCACAGAGCAAGGCAAAAAACTAAACTCCAGTGATACTTAAAAGTCCCCTTTTCTAGTTGACTTTCTGTAGGCACTTACCATAAATTGAGCTCAAAAAAGTATCCTGCTAAGACTGTTGGTTTTAAGGAGCTGTGTAAAGAAGGAACAGTCTGCTAGTACAACAATTTATTGTGTAATGGTTTCTTTAATTCCTACACTCTCAGATCCATCAGTGCTGATTGATGGATTGCAGCTGTACCTCAGCTGAGTAACAAGCAATGGACTAGTGAAAATTAGGCCACCCTTCTGGTGCTAAGAATTCCCTTCACACTCAGGTCTCACTATCCCTGCAGCTCTACAGAAGACATTCACTTCAAGTCTGTGGAAGAATTACACAGCAAGGATGGAGAAAGCAATTTTTTAAAAGGGCCATTTCAATTTTCACAACAAGCCCTGTGAAAGGGGCAGCAAAAGGAAGGAAATGTGTCCCGGAGAGGCACAGTTCCCTCCACTCTCTGTTTGCTCCATGGTGGAGAAATTAACCAATACCAGCAGCAAATTGTGACTAGCCCCCTCTTACTAACACATGCAGGCTCAGGTATGCTTGCCAGCACATTGAGGGGAAGGGGCAACGCCAAGACTCTGCCTATTTCCCCACCTAACTGCCTCAAGGGAAGTATTTATACTGTACTCAGAATACCGTCCTTATATGACTGGCTTTTAGGAGGAAGTGACACAATTTGACACCTCTCTTCAAATTCCTTGTTCAGAAGAGTGTCCAGCATGTTGAAGGGAAGGAGGAGGGAGAGGGGCGAAGCCCAGACTCCGCCCAAGCAGATGGCCCCTTGCTGCCATCTTGTTGCACTTGGTATTTCTGTGTCTATAACCTGGCTCCTGCTCTATCTGCACAATCATCTCTTGACAAATTAGAGCTGCCACTTCCTCCTCTCCCCTCCCCCACAATGGAGGAGCTGAAATTTTGAGGAAGAAGAAGATGATACAAGTACTCTAATTTCAGTGAGGAACACATCTACTGCTCTACCTCCTCATGCAGCTGAAACCACTCACTCAGAAAAGGAAGAAACAATTCTTTTGGACCTTGGAAGAAACCTCACCCCTCCAGATAATTTGTATTAGTGGAATTACCTGATTTGTGGAACAACTAAAATTTCTATATCTAACTACCCATGCTTCCCAACATATGCTGAAAATTACCTTAGGGAAACATTATTTGTTTGTGGTGGAAGAAGGATTGGATACTTCTTGGCATCCCTGATTTTACATTTCATTGTCCATGCTACAGTAAAGACCAGTTACTTGTATTTTGCTATAACCAGATCATCACGTGTAAAATCATCTTTGGGGTTAGTATTAGCCAGCACATGAAAAACAACCAGTGTCAGAGCATCTGGGGTAACAAGGGAATGCAGTTATCCTGTATCTCACACCTGTATTATCCAGCTGTGCTACCTATTGGCGAATCAAGTGGTCCAGCACTGAGAAAAGGCCAAATATAACTTTTATATAATGTTCTATGGGTAGTGTTCAGGAGATCAACTGACATTTAAGACAACCTGTGTCTGAGCATCACGTTTCTCAACTGTAGTGTGAGGGGAAAATCTTTTTGCTTTTGGAAAGAATTCAAATATCCTTTCTGTCTGTCCATAACTACCAGTTCAGCCAGAGATGCTTGATGGCCTTAGTCTCCTAGGTCTCCTTTTCTCTTGGCTTGCCACAAGATTATTCCCTAAACATGCTTCCACTTACAAAATTCCCTTGCAAAAATCTGGTAGCATGTTGAGGAGCAGCTGTGCAGTTGGTTTGTTGTTATTCCTATAGGCATTTTGGGCTGAAATGACAACTGGAAAATAGAATCATAGAAATGTAGGGCTGGAAGGGATCTCAAGAAGTCATCAAGTCCAGCCTTCTGTGTTGTGGCAGAACCCAGTAAACCTAGAGCATCCCAGTATATTGCACTGGTCTTTATTGAATTTCATCTTGATGAATTCGGATCAATCTCCAATTTGTCAAGGTCATTTTGAATTCTAATCCTGTCCTCCAAAGTGCTTGTAACCCTTCCCAGCTTGGTGTCATCTGCAAATTTTATAGGCATACTCTCTACTCCATTATACAAGTCATTAATGAAAATATTGAATAGTATTTCAGACCCAGGTTTGACCCCTGTGGGACCCCACAAGATATGCCCTCCCAATCTGACAGCAAACCATGAATAACTACTCTTTGAATACGGGCTTTCAACCAGTTATGTACTCACCTTTTAGTAATTGTATCTAGACCACCTTTCCTTAGTTTGCTTATGAGAATGTCATGTGGGACTGTGTCAAGATATATCAAATTCATAAAATAAAGACATATGTCCACAGCTTCCCCATATCATTCTTTAGGCCAGTAACCCTGTAAAAGAAAGAAAATAGATTGGTTTGGCATGATTTGTTCTTGGCAAATCCATGCTGGCTATTCCTCATAACCCTATTGCCTTCCAGATGTTTGCAAACTGATTGTTTAATAATTTGTTCTAGTATCTTTCCAGGTATCAAAGTTAGTTGACAGGTCTGTAATTACCTGGGTTCTCATTTTTCCCCTTTCTAAAAATAGGTACCAGGTTTGCCCGTCTTCAGTCTTTTGGACCTCACCCATCCTCCAGGAGTTCTCAGAGATAATTGCTAACTGTTCCAAGATTGCTTCTGCTAATTCATTAAGTACCCTAGAATGAATTTCAGCAGGCCCTGTTGACTTGACTACATCCAACTTATATAAATATTCTTTAACTTGTTCTTTCCCTATTTTAGCTTGCATTCCTTTCCCTTATTTGTTAATATTAATTGTGTTGTGTATCTGGTCACCATTAATCTTTTTAGTGAGGACTGAAGCAAACAGACATTAAACACCTCAGCTTTCTTGAGGTCATCAGCTATTAGCTTTCCTTCCCCACTAAGCAGAGGGACCTACACTTTCCTTCCTATTTCTCTTGCTCCTAATGTATTCTTATTTCTTTTATGTCCCTTGCTCATTTAGTGCCTTAGCTTTTCTGATTTTGTTCCTGCATGCTTGTGCTATTCTTCTGTACGCCTCCATAGCAATTTGTCCATGTATCCACTTTTTGTAGGATTCCTTTTTGATTTTCAGGTCATTAACGAGCTCCAGATGGAGCCATTTTGGCCTCTTACTATTCTTCCTATCTTCCCTTCGCGTTGGTATAGTTTGTAGTTATGCCTTTAATATTGTCTTCTTGAGAAATTGCCAGTTCTCCTTAACTTCTTTTTCCCTTAGATTTTTCTTCCCACGGGACCTTACCTACCAGTACACTGAGTTTGTTAAAGTCTGCTTTATTGAAGTCCATTGTCCTT